CTTTCTCATCACATAACTTTATTCCAGTCAACGTCATGTTCGAAATTCCCCAAAATTTGTTTGTTTAGCATAAAAGGAATGTCTGATGAAGTCAAGATGTCTTAAAAAAGTTTTGTGGGCCTGAGTTCGAACCAAAAAACTATCGAAAAAATTGAAAAAAAGCTTTGGCTTAATTAAATTGGAATTTTAAAATAGAAAAAAGAGGGTTTGAGACGTATTCGAGAGATTTTTAAGGGAAATTGTGGCTAGAATTTAGGGTAAAATTCGATTATTCTGCTTACGATACTGCTAAAAATTATGCAATCCAATACAAAAAAAAATTTTTTTGTTGTATATATGTAATAAGCAAGTTTGTTATCAAAAAATTTCACCCGAAAAACGGAAAAAATAAAATCCCTCAAAACCCGGGCCAAAACAAACCAAATCCGGCCCAAAAAAACATCCGCAAAAAAGGAGCAGGCCAAAGTTTCGTGAAGCCGAGCGAAAAATGATGCTTCTTGTTTTCCGCAGCGCCATAATCGCATTTCCAACGGCTGCACAACAAAAATAAAAGCCGGCCCCCGAGCCTGTTTCTTTTCGGTGGCTTTTGCCAATGCCCTAGACATTTTTTTTATGAATGAGGACACAACAAACTCATTAGTTTCGGGGCAAGGGTTAAAAATGAAGGAGAACCGGAGATGCAGGAGGAAATGAATTGATTTCTCATCAGGACAATCCCAGGGCTTGTTATTCGAATATCAAACAGCGAACGGGAGAAAATAACATAACGAAATTTGTTTAGACGACACGAATAGGGGGATTAGGAAACAACGCGGGAAAAAATAGAAAAACATGTGGGGGAGTGTTGGGAAAAACTGGAGATTTCAAAAACTGTGAAATTTGGTTCTACAGGGGTACACAAGATGTTTAGTCCGAAAATTGGTTAAAATTTGGCATTTTTATGCGAGTATCGATGAAAATTTTGCAGCCCTTTTTCTACTTTTTAAAAGTTTGTTTCTTGTGCAAGATTTGTACAAAAAGTCATATTTTTTCTGCTAGAAATTGGCGGGGATTGTCAAAAAACGCTTTTAGGTAGTCTGGTACAGTAGCCGACCTAGTCCAGTGACAAAAAAGGAACCATTTTGCATCCGAGAAGTATCAAAAATGTAGCAAAATACCTCCAATTGCAAGTGAAAAGCCTCAGACTTCAAAAGCCTCCAAAAACGGCGTTATAGGCAGGCACTGTGCTATATTTTTTGATTCTTCCCGGGTGCAGTTTTTTGCCACTGGATCAGGCCCGTCACTGTAGACAAAAAAACCTTATAAAAAACGATGATTTAGTTAAAAAGCCACTCCAGCACAAGCCTAATCCAAACGTAACCCTTTGAACGAGCTTTTCCAACACTCAAAATTCAAACCATAATCTCCTTTACATTGAAAATCCAGCGAGTTTTCTAAAATTTCCGGTTTGGCAAGTCTCAAAGTTCGCTCAACTCGTCTTCAAAACTTTCGCCGTCTTCGTCACCAGACATTCTTTATGCAAACAGGACAATAGTCACCCAAGTTATGGCGAAGGAAGTGATTTGCAAATTCTGACATACCTCGTTTTTCCCGGAAAATGACGGAAGCAGTTTCCGGTTCAAAACCTTGCAAAAATTACAAAGGAAACTGGTTATGGCTTACAATAATTTTTGATGATTTTAGATAGCCTAGTGGGGCGTAAATTATGAAAATATTGGAGGCTATGCATTCATTGCCAAGAAGAAACAAGATTAACAATCTTTTTTTGACGTTTCTCATTTTTTTATGTTACAAAAAATAACATAATTAATGGTACGTGTTTTTGATCGTGCGGGCTCACAAAAACACTGATCAAAGAGACATCAAAATAGCTCGGCTAGGAAGTGGAACCGCCATATCGTCAGATGTTACTGATTGGGAGGGCAAATCGAGTGGAAAATACAAAGAAACTTTCGATTAGGGGTAGAGCTTGTGCTGGAAAGTTGTAATTACAACGCAAAGGACCTATTTGAGGCCGGAAGACTTCAAAAACACAAATTTTTTGGCTGCATAGAACAGACGGATGCCTCTATAAGATTTTCAAATACAGTGGAACCTCTTTACAGCGAAATCCAATACAACAAAAACCGTATATTGCAAACGCTTTCGTATGCTGCAAAGCCAAAATTAGGCCAAAATGAGGCTCCCTACAGCAAAGCCCTTGTATAACATAACAAATAAATTTTGTGTTCCCATATGATTCGTTGTTCAAAAATACACCATCTCTAATTTAATCCCAGTCAAAGTTCAATCATTTATTTTGATAAATGACGCAATTTCTGATAAACAAACTCAAAACCCCCGTCTAAAAAGGAGAATTCGGGAGAAATCGAAATCACAAACTGTAAATATCATCAAAAGAAAACAGAACAATAACAAGTGTTTACACGATTTCAATACGATCAAAAAAGTCATCACCGCGGTTTCAAGAGGTCTGGGAATTAAAAAAATGGAAAGAACTGTTGGGGGAAATACAAAACAAAGAGCGAAAAAGGGATGATGAAGAATTTAGCGAGTTTCACGAGAATTTTTTGTATTAAAATCACTTTCGCACATCTATAAGTACCCTTAAGAGATACTGTTTACCCGAATTGCCCCAAAAAATCGCTGAAAATCAGTGGTTTTCAAGCGCTCCCGATCAGGTGGTTGTACGTTTAACTGTCTCCGAAAATCACTTTGAATTAAGCCCGCGGGCGGTCATGCGGTTCACGTGCGAAGTGCATGATATACTTTGCACTGAGGCGCGGGATCAACAACGAAATTATTATTGCAAAGAACGGAGGCGACAAAAAGTTAAAGGTCACTGGGTTTTGGAGATGATATCGATGCTGGAAATGTTCGGAAAATTTTGATGAATTAGACGAAAAGTAGTGAGGAGGCGAGAATAAACTATAGGTTTTGTATTATAATAGTTTGTGATGGAAACTGTGATCAGGGATAGTGGAGGAAGGCAAATGTGGGTTACTTATGAGAACTTTGTCGGATTGTGTGAGTGGTCATTGGACGTCTCGTTGATTACTGTTTTTTAGAGGGAGGACAAAGTTTATAGCGACAACGAAAAAAGTTAAGAAATTAAAGTTCAGTCAATGTGGCTGCGGCTCCAAGCTGGCAGAATATTGTGGCACGGACCGTATATTTGTTGGCCCGACCTAAGAACCTTGTTTACCCACAATTGGGTAATTTGGTGCAACAAGTCGCAAGGGACCCAAAAATCCATGATCGTACATACGTACATAAGATAGCTAGGCAGTACCGAGAGTAATCTTTTCTAAAATTCCGCGAGGCCTCGAGGATTGTTCGCTATTGAATGATTGGGCTCGGAAAGTTTGTTGCGCAGAGATTACACCGTTTTTATCTTTGTGATCTTTGCCGTCTCCTGGAAGGCGCTTTCAGTTTATCATATTGGCATGTCGGGAAAATAATGTGGACTTGTCGAATAGCAAAATGTTTCGCCTCGTCGCAGACTCCTTCCAAATTTTCAGTCGCAGCCAGACGTTGCAAACCGATGACGGAAGACTTCTAAGTACTACTACAATCCACGTTATTTTCCCGACAGATAATACTTCACTCATGATACGCCGTTTTCCAGAAATCTTTTTTCGAAGACAGTTCTGTATACAAAGTTCAAGCTGTAACACCCTGCAAACTTTTTTTTCCATAAACTTTTCAAAAGCTAATGGTCATCACAACAGTAGGTAAAGTTTCGCTTTTCTGTCCTTCCATAAAAAGGTGCGTTTAAAGTTTTTTTTGCAAGAAGCTCCGAAAGATGGCGGGTAAACCTGACAACCAAACTTTTTGTTTGTTTTTAGTCCAAAGAAGAGAGCGTTGGCGGGACGTCAAAGCCAAAAAAGTTGGGAAAAAAGTTGACATGGTCTTTCGAATTGTAACGTCTAGCAGGTCGAATGCCCAGATGAAAGAGCAAGGCATGATATCTTCAGACGCGGGACCATCAAATGACGTGTAAAAGCCGATATTTTGCGAGGCATTCCGCAGAGCACATCGAGTGAATTCCCAACGGGCCGATTCAGGAAAACATTTGGCGAAGCTTAGCGCCAAAAATACCAATAGTAAAAATATAAAAGTGCAGACAAGATGGGTTCGCAGATAATACTACGGAATAGGGAGACAAGAAAAACAAATCGCCAAGAACGAAGCTGTTTCTTGTTCTACAAAAGTAGTTTTTGGTGAGGAACTCAGATTCGCTAAATTCCAAAAATTTCACGGTTAGCTTATCTAGAAATTACATAAAGTTTGTAAAATATCACAACGGCCGAATATGATATTCCGGCTAAATTTGTTGGAGGAAGCTAGGCCAAAAATATGATAACTATGTGAAAGGTACAAAACAAAAAATATGTGCTAATCTAAAAAATAACGGCTAACAATAAGACTATCTGGTATTTAGCGGAAAAGGACTCCCGGTATTTGGGCTGGCTTTTGTCTAATTGTAATCATACTTTCCTAGCGCCAGAAACTTTCCTAGTAAGGCTTTTCGTATCATGCAAATCCACTGGATATAAGTCATCATTACAATGCAACCTAAAAATAAGTTTAGCGCTGCATATTGCAGCGTTAACGAAGACAAACAAACAATAAAGTTTGATGTAAAATTCGATAAAAATCCTATGACAAAATGTCTGGCTCTCTTTTATACCCCCAAATCAGTTGACAGCGTTCCTCACCACGTGGGGTGTTTAAACAAGTAGGAGTTTGTCGCGATGATAACGGGAAGTCAAAAACGAATTCCCCCGATTTCGTCACATTCCACGAAATAAATCATCGAAGCTACGATTAATCAAGTCATGGGGTTCGTAATTAGAATGTTTTTGAAGTTTTTTTTTTGATTGAAGATACGGCTATGCCTCTGTACAATAAATCGCGAACAAAAAAGCCAAAAAATTTATAGAAATAAATTAAACTTATTGTTATAAAAAGCATAGATCCACCGTAAATTCTAGACGTCACCAAAATTTGAGATTGCTGAGTGACTTTGGCGACAAACTGCGGCGCTTTTTACGTCGCATAGGGACGTAACATTTATCGTGCACACTGTCGAAAACCTAAAAAAAGATAAAAATTTTGGCTTTAAGATTTCAAAAAACCCCAAAAAAGGTAAACAAAGGGTACCTGACAAATCTGTGCCGAGCTTTCCAACTCGACACTAAAGAAATCCACTGCGTTCACCAGTCGCACAAATTTTTGAATGTCTTCTCGAGAAGGCCGAGAATGAAAGAATAATCTTCTTTGGTGAATATAGCTGGTTATGCCTGCAAAAAATACAAAAAAAATGTAAAATACGTTCTTGTAATTGGCACCCTTTTTCGGGGCACAGATCTGCCTACCACAAACAAAAACGAGCGCGTTCTCGCAGAGTTTGGCGAATTTATCCATCCAAACCCTTCGCAATCTGTCGAGAGATTCCGCATCTTCTTCATCAAACAGAAGAATAATCGCGTTGGCTTTGGTAATGTCTTTCAGTGAGATGTGCTGAAATAAGTAATTTAGTTGCATTCTACATAAGTTAAAATCTCAATTTCAAGGTGGTATTACTTCGTCGGGAAGATTGGTCAATGTAAAATGCACAAGTTGCCCGTTGATGTGACGATGAATCACTTTGTGAATGTAAGGCCTAAAAAAAGAGTAGACAGTAAATGCAGTATACTTCAAAGGAAGAAATAGCCAAGAAGCTTTTCATGCCAAAATTTGCAAAAAAAAATTTAAATTTTTTCCGTATTTTGATTTAAAAATTCCGGTCGTTTCTGCAGACCGCAAGTTAGAAGTCTTGCATGTCTTAGAAAAAATGTAAATCAAAGCCTGAGCGTCGCACTTGGAGTTTAATACTTCTTCTACCATTACCGTGAAAGCTTTGTACACCGAAGTCTTGTAAATCAAGCCCTACTTGTAATAACAGTTATCAAGGAAACTATATATAAATTTAGGCCAAGGCAAGCCCACAAAAACCGCTTTCAAAACGGATTTTTTTTGCAAAATTTGTTATAAAGAAATCCCGCTGCAAGACCAGGCTTACTCAATCACACAATAAGCCCCTGAAGCGTTCGCAAATCTTTCGGTCATCAAGGACTTGCCAAATAAGGGATCCCCAATTACCAACACATCCAACGAGTCCATCATATCCAAATTGACACAACCTCTTTTTCTGATCTTCTCCGGATTTTTGCGGATACTCAGCGGCACGCAAAAGCTACGACGAAGCTTGGAATGTAATAGATTCATTGCTCGGAGGACTTCTCACAATTTGAATATTACGCATAGCAAATTTTGAATGAACATACAATGGGAAATGATCGTTTACTTTTATACCGCGGATTTATCATACATTTGTTTAGCCAACAAGACTAATTGTGCGTTAACAATTAGTTGTCAAAAAGTCTCAACGCCAAAGAAATATGTGGGAGTGGTGACTAATTCGTGCTTTCTGCAAACAAAGATTCGTTTAATTCTTTGTTGTAAACTCCAAGAACAATGCACAGTGTTTCGAGCAATTTTTTGCTGCCGTCGGTGCCTAAAAAATTAAGAAGTTAAAAAGTAATGCTTAAAATTCTTTGTGTATTTTCGTAGCCACAAATATTAAGTAAAAAAGAGTACGTTACAGGCCGAGGCACTTCCTCTCCAAGTATACAAATCGTGTCATCATAGTTTTTGTCATTAGTGCATGATAAAAAATCACAAAATTTCGAGTTTCAATTAATAAAAATGTAGTAAAAAGCTTTCATTTATGTATTATGTGGAAAGTTTCGAGAGCTATAACATACATATTTAAATTTCGTAATTTTACTGGACCTTTCAGCATAGTTGTAATGCAAAAACCGATGTGCATGATCATATGATAGGGTTAAAAGACAAAAACTTTGTATTTATTTTATTGCATTTAAAAAACTGTAACAACTCACAAATATATACATGAATGACGTTGTAGAAAGATCAGTCACCAAATTCACCAAAACTTCAGACTTTTCAAAGATTTCAAAGACAGGCTTCGCTCTCGCTTCTGCACTTTCGGGACGTAGAATTCGCTGCAGAGGCGATCGAATACCTGCAAACATACGAAAGTTTGATACAAACACAATTTTTTGCATGAAAAATAAAGCTGCTTACTTGAAAGATCTGTTCGTGACTGCCCAGGTCAACGCTGAAGTAACAGGTGGCATCGGCTTGCTCCACAAATCTGTCGATGTCAACGCGGGACGGCTCTGCGTGATAAAACAACTTTTCTCGATGCAAAAAGCTGGTGAGTCCTGTAAAGGATGTTAAAATTAGAGGGTAACAATTTTTGTGGCCATAAAACGTACCCGTTTGTATAATTAGATAAAAATACCCGCTTTAAAAACACCTTGAAATTTATGGACCACGGCATTAGTTTAGGGTCTAAACCTACCACAAACCGCAATCAACGAAGACTCGCAAAGTTGTTCAAATTTATCCAGCCAAAGTGTCTGAAGCTTTTCAAGAGACTCTACATCGTCTTCATCAAACAAAAGAAGAATTGCGTTTGCTTTGGAGAAGTCGTTGGCCCTGATATCCTAAAAAAGTCGTTATCTACACATTTGTATATCCGGCCTTACCTCATTTGGAAGATTCATTAGACTAAACTGAACCGAAGAGCCGTCGGTGTGCTGATGGATCACTCTGTGGATATACGGTCTGAAAGATGGCCATGGTAATAAAAATAAATATTAACAGTCTTCAGAATAATTCGTGTCGGTCTGTCGGGGAAATACTGAGCATAATGTCGCCCCGACTATCGCGTTGCCGCTGAGAAAAATGGATTGTGTCGCAGCAAAGCTCCATTTTTGATGCGGCATTGTGCTCATTATTTCCCGACAGATTGATAGCAAGATTGCTGATGAATGATGATACTCACTCAATCACGCAGTATGCTCGTGTCGCCAGGGCAAACCGCTCTGACAAGAGGCTTTTTCCGAATAGTGGATCGCCAATTACTAGGACCTCCATACAGTCCATGATTTTGAAAATAGCAAATATTATACGAATGCAGCGGCTTGAAAGAAGAGGTGGTAAAAACAAGAAGCAGCGACAGACAATCTAAAAAAGTCCATTTACAATTAGGGCAGTTATTGTACCAAAACGCGCAGGAATGTTTCTCGTCTCGCATAGAAAAATTCTTATGACCTCTTGCGATTCGTTCTACATATCAGTCTGTCGGGAAAATAACGGCGGATCGTCGCAGCAAAATGTCTCGCCTCGCCGCTATCGCGCACCAAATCCCAAGCCGCGGCTTGCCGTCGCAAAGCGATGATGAGCGACTCCGAGGCGCGACGATCCGCCGTTTTTTTCCCGACAGACCGATAGTTTTGACCATCAGTCTGTCGAGAAAATAATGAAGGCAATGTCCCATCGAAAATCGCATCGCCGTCGAGAAAATGAAATGTGTAGAGAAAAAATCAAATCGCTTTTCATTTCTGTGACGGCGTTGGGGCACCGACATTACGCTGATTATTTTCTTAGACTGATATACTACGCAAAACAAAATGGCAATTAATCGCAGCTCAATGAAAGTAAAGACATCTGCTATGTGATTATACGTACTTTAACTGACCTACAAACTCATCTCCACAACCCGCCACCCCACTAATAAAAAACTTGAAACTAAGGCCAACTCACAAGTCAGCCTTCTATTTATGCCAACAACACATTCCGATCACCCCACCGGAAAGCCCTGGAGTCGGTCAAAACACCGGGTCAAATGCCAATGTCCATCACATTGCCGATCAGCATACTTTGAATCAGCCGCTTTTATAAGCGGGAATGACTTTAAACTGCGGGCTGTTTTGTAATGTCGAAACCCTGTAACCGCTGACACAGCGAAACGCCAGATCGTGAATTGTTTTCATTTTCTGGCCACGAAAGCGGAAGACCGAATCTTTTCCCTTTTCGATTTTAAATCTTTTTTTTCAGCCCCTTTGCAACGTATGATCGATGAAAAAAGTCAGAGATATGCATTGATAAGATGATTATCGATTTTTGGATTTTTCGGATATTAAAAATTCCTGCGATGTCATAGTTTTTTTCCGGGGATCAAAGAAGCAGTGTAATGAGCTTTTTGGTCCTTTGTTTTGTGGCAATTTCCTAAACCGAAATGGAAAATATGTTTTGAATAGTCGCTCGTTTGACTATTATTAGTACAGGAGATCGGAGATTAGCGGATATTAAAAGACGATTTCTGAGTCAGTGAAGCAAGCCGTGACATAGGATTTTTTCGAAGTTGAGTTTTTTGCATAAATATGATCCACAGCACCAGTAGGGAAAAAGCGAACCACAGTTTTCCTCAATTCTTCCATTAACTGTACTTTTTATACAATTTTCTGTTTATACAGTAATTCGTCATAACTTTCTACAATGGTGTCCGTTTGTCATAAAAATAAGGCTACTATGGTTTTCGGGCATGACGAGTTCAATAAAACCAAAAAAATTACATCCGGTTACGGTAACATATAAAAATACTGTATCGGTCGGTAAAAATCGACGATAAAAAGTTTGTTTCAAAAAACCCACAGCCAATTTTTTCATATTCGTAATCAGCGTAAAATTCTGCTCTAGGACCAATTTTAAAAAGTTCAAAAATAGGACCCCCATTTTCCGTGGTGTAGTGGTTTTTGACCAAAACTGGTAATCTGACCACCCAGGTTCGAATCCGGGTGGGTGCGAATGTAGAAAAAGACCTAAAATCACTTTTAATGAAAACCTGAGAGTTATTTGAAGCACGCTGAGCAATTTTAGGCATTAAAACTCTCTGAATTTGGGATTAAAACGATTTTTATGTAATTTTAGAGGATTAATGCATCAAAAATAAAACTGCTTCAAACTGGTTGAAATTGATAACACTTATTCTATGGCTAATTGTAAGAAACTTTCCTGTTAACTTTTTTGGTAGAGTGCTGTATCATGGATTACTGTAACATAAAACTTATTCTACTTAGCAGATGTTTTCTTCAAAATTCTTGGGTAAATGTTTTTCTTTTTTTGATTAGATCTATTAAAAAGCAAGAAATCTCAACGCTCCATATTTCAAAAAAAGAATTTTACATGATATATTGTGCATCTTGACATCATTATCGCTTGGAAACCTGCGCGTTTTAACGGACGTGCTTCAAGTCCTACGGACATAGAAAACACATTTGTGTGATAACCAACGTGTTCTCAAGCATTCCTATCATAATTGTGATACACTGAAGTCTCTACGCCCTGTGGCATACCAAAAACGAAAACGGGTTTAATGTTACAGTAATCCATGATACAGCATTCTACCAAAAAAAGTTAACAGGAAAGTTTCTTACAATTAGCCATAGAATAAGTGTTATCAATTTCAACCAGTTTGAAGCAGTTTTATTTTTGATGCATTAATCCTCTAAGATTACATAAAAATCGTTTTAATCCCAAATTCAGAGAGTTTTAATGCCTAAAATTGCTCATCGTGCTTCAAATAACTCTCAGGTTTTCATTAAAAGTGATTTTAGGTCTTTTTTCTACATTCGCACCCACCCGGATTCGAACCTGGGTGATCAGATTACCAGTTTTGGTCAAAAACCACTACACCACGGAAAATGGGGGTCCTATTTTTGAACTTTTTAAAATTGGTCCTAGAGCAGAATTTTACGCTGATTACGAATATGAAAAAATTGGCTGTGGGTTTTTTGAAACAAACTTTTTATGGTCGATTTTTACCGACCGATACAGTATTTTTATATGTTACCGTAACCGGATGTAATTTTTTTTGGTTTTATTGAACTCGTCATGCCCGAAAACCGTAGTAGCCTTATTTTTATGACAAACGGACACCATTGTAGAAAGTTATGACGAATTACTGTATAAACAGAAAATTGTATAAAAAGTACAGTTAATGGAAGAATTAAGGAAAACTGTGGTTCGCTTTTTCTCTACAGGTGCCATGGGTCATAATAATGTAAAAAACTCAACATCGAAAAAATCCTATGTCCTGGCCTAACTACGGCTTGCTTCAGTGACTCAGAAATCGTCTTTTAAAAGACGATTTTTGGCTCGCTGCGTCAGCCCGTAATGGACCCGGGACATAGGAAAAAATCGATTTTGAGTTTTTTGCATAAAAATGACCGTCGGCATGTGCTAAGGAAAAGCGAACAACAGTTTTTCTCAATTCTGCCCGGAAGGCATAAATTTGCTTAAATTTGTCTTTTTTGGAATTTTCGACATAGTGACGTCATAGAAAGAGCAAATCACCCAAAATTTTGCTTGTATACGTTTTCGACCATTGGGAATTCATTTTTTTGAAAATTAAGTCTCTCAGATTACTGTAACATAGGCATATTGCAATCCGGTCGATAAAAATCGACCGTAACTCCTTCGTATCAAAAATCCCACAGGATTTTATTTCAGATTCGGATTCAGCGTAAAATTCTGCATAATGTACACATAATGTGAGGTCATAACTCCAGGGGGGAGATCGCGTAGTATATTGGATTTTGACAAAAATTACGTTTGAAAGGTCGCGGGTTCGATCCCCGCTTGGTGCAAATATTGAAAACATGGCGGAAATCGCGTTTTATGGACACCTAAGGGTTATGTGAGATACACTACGCAATTTTAAACATTAATGCATGTCTAATTGCGAGTAAAACTGATTTTATATAATTTTTGGGGACTGAATATGCAAAAAACGAAACTGCTTCAAACCGCTTGAAATTGGCAACACTTATTCTAGGGTCAATTGTAAGAAACTTTTCCGTTAACTTTTTTTGGTAGATCACCGTACGATGGATTACTGTAGCGTTAAACGTGTCCTGATTAACAGCAGTTTTCTTAAAAATTCTTGCATAAAATTTTAAATCGTTTTAATTAGTCGCTTTAGACAGCGAAAAGATCCACTTCCTATATATGAAAGAAAATTTGCCCTTAATTGCAACGCGTCTTGATGTCATAATCAATTGGTGAAAGTGCGTCAAATAACTCGGCCGTTCCAAACGGTACAGCCATAAAATTTTTTTTGTACACAGGAAAACTCTTTCTTAACTATTCTGAGCACAATGATGACAATCCGACTTCGATGCGCCATGTGGTACACGAAAAACCAAATCAGGTTTAATGTTACAGTAATCCATGGTACGGTGATCTATTACCAAAAAAAGTTAACGGAAAAGTTTCTTACAATTGACCCTACAATAAGTGCTGCCAATTTCAAGCGGTTTGAAGCAGTTTCATTTTTTGCATATTCAGTCCCCAAAAATTATATAAAATCTGTTTTACTCGCAATTAGATATGCATTAATGTTTAAAATTGCTTAGTGTATCTCACATAACCCTTAGGTGTCCATAAAACGCGATTTCCGCCATGTTTTCAATATTTGCACCAAGCGGGGATCGAACCCGCGACCTTTCAAACGTAATTTTTGTCAAAATCCAATATACTACGCGATCTCCCCCCTGGAGTTATGACCTCACATTATGTGTACATTATGCAGAATTTTACGCTGAATCCGAATCTGAAATAAAATCCTGTGGGATTTTTGATACGAAGGAGTTACGGTCGATTTTTATCGACCGGATTGCAATATGCCTATGTTACAGTAATCTGAGAGACTTAGTTTTCAAAAAAATGAATTCCCAATGGTCGAAAACGTATACAAGCAAAATTTTGGGTGATTTGCTCTTTCTATGACGTCACCAGGTCAAAAATTCCAAAAAAGACAAATTTAAGCAAATTTATGCCTTCCGGGCAGAATTGAGAAAAACTGTTGTTCGCTTTTCCTTAGCACATGCCGACGGTCATTTTTATGCAAAAAACTCAAAATCGATTTTTTCCTATGTCCACCGCTGACGCAGCGAGCCAAAAATCGTCTTTTAAGCAATAGGTGAACGCCAATGGTTTGTTAAAGGATGACAAAAGTAATTTAGGAATGACCGATGTGTGGCACTTTAAGAGATGCATGTTTTTAGTGTCTTGCATGCCCCTTTTAACAATAATCTCAATTT